GATCAGACGCGGAAAGTTTGTCACTTCATCCTGAGGAAGGCCATGAGAAGTGTAGGGAGCAACATATCAGCAAGGTACAATCCTGGACTTATTCGAAAACAAGAGCAAGCTCAATGTATTACTTCTGGTAAAACACTTTATAAGTACATTGTTTAGTATTGGTTTTTATCACTATAGAGTTTATATAATATATTTGTCATTTTCTGTATTGTTTATTTAAACCTTATATCCTTAATGAATTGATGGCGTGCTGCAGTAAAATTAAAGAAACACTATAGTGTCAGGAATAGAAACGTGTATTTAGGTCCCTTAAATGGGATAAAAACTCAAAAATAAAAATAAAAATGTTATTCCAGCGCCACATGGGTCTGCTGAATTTGGCCTCGCCCCTTACCCTTCTCCTTGACAATCTAAACCAATCCAATGCTTTATCATTCTGAGGCGGGTTAGGTGCGGAGCCAAATGCCACGCTGGCCAACCAGCATCTCTTCATAGAGATGCATTGCATAAATGCATCTCTATGAGGAACGTTCAGCATGGAGACGCTGAATGTCAGTACTGCACGTTGTGCAGCACTGACCCAGGAAGGACCTCTAGTGGCCATCTGAGTGACTGCTATTGGAGGTGTCCCTAGGGAGCAATGTAAACACTGCATTTGCTCTTAAAAGGTAGTGTTTACATTAAAATGCCTGAAGGAACTGACTATACTCACCAAAACAACTACATTAAGCTGTAGTTGTTCTGGTGACTAAAGTGTTCCTTTAAATGAACACCCCAAGCACCATAATCATTGCATCATTCTGTAGTGCTTGTGGTGCCTGGAGAGCCCCACAATTGTAAAAAGTCAGTTTTTTAGAACGGTTTGCATTCTTTCCTAGAGTCCGCGGGTGATTTTCCCCACCTCCACTACATTAGTCTGAGAAGTGGAAGCTCTCTTTCTCTCGGAGATAAAACCAGTGGTGCAGGTCTGAGCTCATTGGCTGAAAGCAAGCAGCTGATATTCCCAGCCAATGAGCTCCACTGCAGGGCTTCGCTAACAAAGACGGCTAACTAACGCCTGCTTAGGAGCATCTGGCTCTCAGACTGAGGTAGTGGAGGCGTAGAGTGGGAAGCATTACTTGGCATAACCCAGGTAAGAAGTCATACTGTTCTAAAACTGTTTGACTTTTTATTATGTGTGCATCAGGACACGCCTGGCTTGGACTGTTCCTTTTAATGCAGTCTGATCTGTGAAACTAAAATTTCCTCCAATTCAACCATTTATACCAAGATACACTCCTTCCACAAAAACAACAATCTCTTTTCTGTCAATGAACATTACATGTATTCGGAGGAACAGAAAACCAGTTCCAGTGCAGTGTGTGCCCTAATACTGAATGGCCTGAACAGGATTCTCTCGTCAATCGTTAAATGTTTAATATACATTTAAAAAGAAAATGGAACATCACATAAAGAGATTTACAATAATTTATTCAGCAGTGTAATTTTAAGTGTTGGTTCCTCTATCAGAAATCATTCCATAGAAAACCAAATTCCTAATTAACTTGTATAGATTACCCAAATACATTTGCAGGGAAGGAAGATGCAAAAATGTTGTACCAAAATCCTCCACTAGGCTGTGCTATGCTAAAGAGAGACTCAAAGGGATTGATTGGGAGTTATGTGTGTATAAAGGTGTTTCTGTGAGAAAAGAGAACACAATTGGTGTCTGCTTATGTATAAAGATTCCTACCAGAAACATCCCTGTGGTGAAATAGAAAGGTTGTCTTCTTATTATTTAGTTATTTTGTTGCAGACAGTGTATTTTGCACAAATGCACCGTTTTTAGATCACTTTGCTAACTATAGCTCTCCACTGTGATGACTTTAATCTATATGTAGGCAATCTCTGATCTAAGGGGTGCTCTAGACTCACATTTTCACTTAATTTGTGGGTTTTTTATTCAGAGACCAACATATTTATAAAACATAATCCATATGGTTTTGTCCCATTACATTTATGTATTTTGCAACATTTCCATCAAAAAGACCTACAGCAGCAAATGCTTAAAATGTCTATTATAACAGCAAAATAGTGCTGCACTCTGGAATTGTGATAAGTCCCCTCCGATAACCTAGTTTGTGAGCCCCCCCCCCCGAGAAATCCAACTGTCTCCCTCTCAACTGCCAGCACATGCAGGCGCCAGCCCTGCAATGTGCCTGCGGACCGGAGGGGAGATCATAGATTTCCTTCCCTGGTCCGCAGGCACATTGCTGACAGCCGGCAGGGAAGGGAGAGGGAGGAGAGAGGACCTGGGAGCTCATGCTGCAGCTCCTCCGGGTCCTCCTCTAGCGAGATTTGGAGCGTTGCCGCAGTTACTTGGAGTGCGGGCTAGAGTTCACTGGGACCACCAGGGAATCACCACTGGGACCACCAGGGAACGAAATATGTCCCCCCTCCTCCTCAATAAAGGTAAGAAGGGAGGGGGGACATAGAATATTTATTTTAATTAAATAAAAAATAAATACATATATTATAGAAACAGCCCCCCTACCCTTATCACACACTCTATACACATACTGCCCCCTCATACACACATACTGCCCCCTCATACACACACACACACACACACACTGCCCCCCATACACACACACATACTGCCCCCCATACACACACACATACTGCCCCCCCATACACACACACATACTGCCCCCATACACACACACATACTGCCCCCATACACACACACACACACACTGCCCCCATACACACACACACACCGCCCCCATACACACACACACACACTGTCTCCCATACACACACACACATACTGTCCACACACATACTGCCCCCATACACACACACACACTGCCCCCATAATACGCACACATTGCCCCCCCATACGGACATTCTACACACACACACACCCTGCCCCTATACACACATTGCCTACACTGCAATACTCACACACACACTGCAACTGTTACACACACATACTGTCCCACACATACACTGCATCCCTGACATACACTGCCGCCCTCACTCACATACTACAACCTTCACACACACACTGCTCACACACTGTCCCCCTCACACACACACACACCTTTCACCCCTTACACATTGCACCACTCACACACACCACTGCTCCTATGCCCTACTACAGCCTCATTTCCCAGCAGACCTCAGGTAAGTTGGCAAACTGTTCTTAAACGGTTTGACTACTTACTCTGGGAGGTGGTCCCGGGACTATTGACACCATAACCACTACACTAAGCTGTAGTGGTTATTGTGTCTGTATTATTTCTTTAATCTACAAGTGCCCCTCCCGAGATCAGGCTCTGGATCCGCCACTGGCTTGAACAAGATAAAATGAAAAGGGATTAGTGTAATAGGGTGTTTTACGTCAGCTAGGCTAAGTATGGCAATTTGTTTATTTAAAGAATTTTAAATGTTGCATAAATACTGTGTAAGCAGAACAAGAGACCTACGTGTTTTTTTGTTTTTGTTTGTTTTTTAAGAAACTCCCAAGCAATTACATGGCTAAAGAGTTTAGGTCACTACATTTAAATACATTAATTATAATTTAATTTGCATAATGCCTTCAGACTCCTTAGTGTTCCTTTAACAAATAAATATTGAGCACTTGAGTGTTGGGAATACAAAGCTTTGTGAATGATTGCAAATGAACAATGGACATTAAGGCACATATCTCTTGCTCCTTATTACTAACATTTTAGGAGAGAAGTGGCATAATGAATTTATTCATAGTATAACACTTAAGAGAGAAGCTCCATCCCCCTACCAGGCTTCAGGTTGATTCTGTACATCAAACATTGGATTATCTTTAATCTTTGCATCGCGTGGCAGAAGGTTATTGTCCATTAATGGCCAGTAATAGCTAGTGACATACAGTAGACAATTTACTATCATATTGGTTATTATCTTCTTTAGCTGTTCCCACCTTTGTAAAAGTAATTACAAGCTTGCCTCAAACTGGCTAGTGGACAAACAAGTCTGTCCACCCATAAATGAACAAATGGAAAACCAGTTTTTATGAAGCCACTTCAGCTGAGAAATTATTTTTGCAAATGTTTGCTTGTGCTACAGGATATTTCAGTGTACATACCACAATTAAATGTGTAGGCAAACCCTGTTTAAACAGAGTTGTCCAATTTGTGGGGGTGTATAGTGGTGAAAACATATATTATATTGGGTATGGTGTCCATAACAATGCTTCCCAACTATTGTATTATATAACTAACTCAGTATACTGCAACTGTAATGTGATGAACATTGAAGGAACACTCAAAGCACCAGTGTGCTGTAGTGCTTATGGTGCAAGGAGTTCCCTTGCTCTCCCTGCTTGTTTCACGTAATTATAATTTAGAGAATCTGTGATATAAATTGTCAGTCCCTGCATACAATGATGAATGTTAAGTTCCGTTTCCAATAACTTTCTTTACTTTTTTTTTTTTAAATTTATATATAAAGGTTATATTACCATCTGGAGCTGAGACGAGTTCAGAGTCTACCAGTTAATTTCGTCATTCGATCCAGTGAGTCTTTGCCCAGATGGGTGAGAAGCAGCACCTCTCTTATGGACCTGATGCAAAAATGGGATGAATATCAAAGACAACTGATGCCTGGACTCTTCTGCATTAATCTTAACATGAAGGCTTCTCTGTACCATCATGAAGAGCCAGAACTCCCTCAACTTCCCATGGACCCTGATAGCCTAATAATGGTGGAAGTGGCTTAAGATCGGAATTATGCTGGTCATCTCAGTGATTGAGGCCTAGAACACCTCTTATAATAACCATAGTTGGCTGTTTTTATACATAAATTTCAGTTGAATAAAGTCTAGCAAGATGGCACATGTCATCTTTAGGAGAACAACTAGGACAATGGCCAATTTTGGGTCTATTAAGGTGGCAACTGCCTTATTTGGACGTACGCTCTGATGGGAGGGTTGGCGGTGTTACCTATAACATCTCATGCTGATCATGGTGTAGTGGACCCAACAAATCTTGCCATAGTAAATATGCCTGTGGAATATATATACTTAAATAATATTTTTTTCTTAAGAGCTTTTCAAGGATTCTGAAACCACTGTAAGAAACTATGAATATTCATTTGAAGACCTTGTGGGACCAGTTAGAATTTCCACTTTAATACTCTTGAGTACTGGGGCACTCTGGGGATTTTTTTTCACTATTTCAATTATTGACAAACTGTTACTTTACAGAATTAAAGATCAGCCTGTTCGACATAGCTCAGAGCTGATGACATTCACTTAGACGAAGACAATGCAAGATAAAAACACATTTATATATTTATTTTGATGTTAGGATACCATCAAAATGAAAATAATGAGGAGCCAAAACCTTAAACTGTATTATGTAATTATGTGCAATAATTTAAATTATTATCTCTGCTTCTGCCAATGTTTTTTCCTTTATAGCACCATTGCTTCAGGTTAACCTGTTTCTCCTGTAGAACAATTTTTTCCCCCCATGGCATTCTGCATAAATGTCTATTTTTGATATATTGCATTATATATTCACAATAATGTTATGGTGCTGTGTGTTCTTACTAAAAATATAAAATGCTGCGGTAAAGTAAAATTTACTTATGGATAAGGTTATTGAAACGTTGATTATAGAAAATTGAAAATGATAAGGAAATTAAGTGCATCATTTTCTTTGATTTTTATAAAGTTCTATAATATTGTGTTAATTAAGTAATGCTCAATGCAGGTTCACAGTGTGGCAGACTAAACCTATACTATTATTCTATAATATTGCTGTACTACAAGCTTTTAAAATATGTGTAAAGTTTTCCATTATTTTTCACATTTTTAAAGTGGCACGTACTGTTTTTCAGCAGACCAGCTGTTCGGTTTTCCTTTATATTTTTTTCCTTTATCTTAAAAACACGCATGTGGCAAAATGCACAAAGGAAAGTAATTAATTATATAAGAACATGTCACATATCAACCACTGTTCATCATAGAAGCAAAATATCACATTGGCAGGGAGTAGTGTCCTTGCAGAAAATGCAAACATCTGCAAGTGACTCTTCTGTCTTCAGGCTAACAATGTATCATGGTAGTTGTAGTTCATCAGCAGCTACCTTTTGGTCATCCGAGCTCTAAACAATAATCAGTCATGGCAGGTTCACTTCAACTGCAATTGCCCCGATATGCATTGAATATATAATTTATATAAAAGGTCCCATCCCACATGTCAATCAATTCCTCGAAGATAAATAGTTTTTTCTCCCATTCTACAAACACAATATATAGGTGGGATTTAATGTACTCTTACATTAAATACATGTTTCATTACATGATCAAAGGAAGCCGTGAAATGTGTTTAGTAAGTAGTGAAAATGAAGGGTGCATGTGAATGCGATGGGATTAAAGGAACACGCCCCTGCAAAGCTCAAGTCATAAATGTGCTGATTTCAAAAGAAATCAACACTTTTTAATGAACCACTTTAGCGTGGTTTTAGTTTTCCCTGCTTTATTTGCTTTACACTATAGCTTAGAGCAAAGCTGAATGCTTCTCCTAGAGAAACCTGGAAGCATTGTAGTGCCCTCTGTCCCTATCCTTTTTCCATGAGAAGTTTTGGATTAAACAAAGATCATCAGGACTGATGATATCATCACAGGCAGACTGGCCTGCAGCGAGAACGTCTTCGCATTGCAATAAAGGTAGAAGTTTATCCCCCCTCCCCCCCTTTAATATAATATGAAAAAAAAAGACATGTAAAAAATGCATTTTTCTTATTGGAGTGTTCCTTTAATCATAAAAAATGTTATACTGTTCAGAATTTGTTTTATGGAATACAGGAAAGTGATTTTTAAGGACAATGAAAATGTCATTGTTAACAAAGAGGGTTACAGTAAGTCATTAGTTTTGGATCCTTGTGGGAAAGACACGTAATACAGCAAACTATACAAGATTTGGCAGCATACTTAATCCCCACAATATTGGCTGAGAGTGATGGGGCCTTTAGTTTAACATTGGCTTGTTTATTATATATGAGACCAAACACAATAAAACTCCACACAGTTCAAATACCAAATTTAATGTTCTGCATTAACTGCAAATCTTAAGTTGGACTTTGAGAAGAAGGTCTTGGGTGTAGACACTCGAGAAATCATGTTTCAGTAATTATCCCAGAGTTCCCAGTACTTTTTCTGTGTGTTTGAGATATATTGCATTGTCCCTCTTCCCTCCCCCCTCCTCCCACCCAATGTTAATTGCTGTTGATGCAATGAAGCATATTTATTCTAAAATGATGAGACGTAGACATATAGGCACTACTTATTAATTACCGTATATTTTTTTTTACAGGAATGACATTACTGCCTCTCATAGGGTTGTATAATCTTAATGCCAGCCTTTGCAATCAGTAGCATACCTAATAATTCCATAGGCTCTCTTATTCTAGAACTTACTGGGCATAACATTTTTTTTTAATTTTTTTTTTTATTTGGTTATGCAAAATGTCTAGAACAAGTATAAGGGATGTTTTAGTCCAAGAAGGCTATAGTGCTGCAAATGTTTCTCAGTCCTTTTTAAGCTATATTGATCAGGGACATTTATTAAACATAACTTGTCAGTTTTACTGCTAGTTCAACAAACTATTGACATAGACCTATTTTGCTTCATAAGCTTTCATTTGTAGTTTTCCATTTATTTATTCATTCAAAGGTTCAACTTGTTCACTGCAGGGAAACTACTCAGTTCATTTTATTCAAAGTTTATCAAGGGGGCATCAGCAATACTGACTTCAGGTAACTGAGTCGGCCATTTTGTGCCATTGACATCAGACATTTTAAGGAATTTTATTTAATTTTTTGCCTTTTTTTTTTTTTTTCAATCAAGACTTAACAATTACCCTGCATTAAATCAGCATTTATAAACTCAGGTTGTCTTTTATTTTCATTGCTAACTTATTAAACTTTTAGTTGTGTAGATTATTATATTATATAGTTCTGTATTCTGCTTAAGTATATGTTTTTAAGTTGTTTACGACATTTACGGTATCTTTTCCTTTGGGTTTTATTTTTTTGTTAATGTTATACCTCAACATGGGTGATCCCTAGGTAATGAACCAAACTATGTTTGCCTTCGGGGGCCCTGCATTCACAAGGTATTAACCACTTTCTACCTCAAATCAAACCTAGTGCTTCACGCAAATTTGATTTGTCTGAAATGTAAAGTTAATTTCAAATTCTAGGACAAAATGGCCAAATTAAAAACCTGGCTGACTAGAGACTGTTTCCAGTTAAACTATTTTACCTAAAATTCAAATTAACTTTGACTGACCGCTCACACTTTACTGAATAACCCTGACTCTAAAATCTGTTGACTAAAGATATATATTTGAGTTTCATAAGCATGCAGCACTGCCTACCACTACAGTGACTATTATATGTGTTCTAATCTCTATAAAACTTAATATTTTAAGATCTGACTGGACATCGGCTAAAATCCCACACTTCTGTTCTAAACATCCACCTGCTATTGCATAGCTGATTTGAGTTGTTCCTCAGTCCTAATTAATGTAATACCCAAGGCATGTTTTGTCAGGTTGGTTAAAAATACAAATTAAGGTACTGGTAACTTTCACAACCCTATATAATTTATACTCTATATTATTTCTGGTTAGTGATCCTAGAGTCACTGGAAAATTTCTAAAACTTAATTTGGGGGGCAGGCTTTTATACTTCTCAGACCAGACAGCCCTCTATAGGTCATGAACTGAAAACAATGCAAAAAAAAAAAAAGACTGGCTCAAGGTGATATGATTTGGATCCAAAAAAAAAAGCATACAAGGCCAAGATACCTGAACTGTTATTTTTAGTTTTCCTTCTGTTTCTTCTTATTGAAGTGATTATAGTTCATGGAATCCCCTCGACACTGTTCTTCTGTTTACTGTTAAATACTTTTTCTACGGTTTAATGTGAAACAAGAGTCCCCAGCAGCAGTGATTGGCTGAGAGTGTCAGCTGACTGCATTCAGCCTACCGCAGGCTCCCATGAATGGTATGGATTGGTATAGCTAAGGAAAAATGGAATCTGACACATCACCAGTGGTGCCAAGCTGTATGTGGCCAGGATCCCTCAATCATTTTTAAACAGTTTTTTAAAATGGTTTAACACCAAATGGATGGACAGTGCCCAGGGTTTCCAGGAACTATAACTACTTCAAGAGATGAAATGGTTATATTGCCTACAGTGTCCCTTTCACTCTCCCATTGCATACTGACTTGCTATTCTTTGATAGAAGGATTTTTTTTTTTCCAGTCCTGGTCAGTTTAGTGGTCTTTGAAACCAGAGGATGTACTTGTTTACTAATGGTGGACTGCGCCACATAGTATTAAGGTATTCTGACATTCTCAGAGTAACCAAACCATGGTGTCATTCAGAAAAATATTCAAATTGCAGAAAGCATTTTAAAATTGTAATTATTATAAAATTGTAATAACCACTGCAAGAGGATCTTTTATATTGTGGACACCGGATCCTATTGCTTGTGCTTAAACCTGTCTTTTGTGTAGCAAAATGAGTCATTTGTGTAGATGAATACACTTTTTACACTAAGAAATGTGCCAATACCCCAAAACCATTTCTCCAATTTGTTACCTTAAAGGAGCCTTCCAAACACAATGCCCCCTAGAGCGTGCTGTAGTGTTTATGGTTCAGTGCGCTAGTGCCATCATAATTGTAAGTAATCAAACCATTTTAGAACAATTTGATTTCTTGCATGGAGTCTGCTTGCTGCTGTTCTCCCGGTGATTATGGTAGTTCCACTGAGCTGTGAAGAGAGCACGCTGTAGTGGTTATGATACTTGGACGGTTTCTTTTAAGGATTGCGACGGAATTCTGCAAGACCCCTTCAAGTGTTATTATGGGTTTAACTGTGTGTGTACAATTATATATAATATCTGTATATTGTTATAGCTGCACTGGTCTGATTTTATCTGCTGTTAAATTGTAACTTAATCTGCTCTGTATGTAAATATCATATAAATAGTTTACGGTTTCACATTACTTTTTGTCTTGAGATTTTTTTAAGTCTTATTTTGGAGCTATTGGGGGATGTATCTGTACGAAGTTATTTTATTTATGATGTTTTTAACGCTCAGGGATTTATTGACTAACCTCGTGGACGTGAATTTGATGCCTTACTTTATCTGGAGGCACATACTACTCTCGCTGTATCTTGAAACTTAAATTTCATACCAGTAACAGCGGCCAAATAATAATGGGGGAGAAAAAACAACGCAGGGATGTATTTGGGGAAAGTGTTACAGAACGCAACATTAAACTGTGCACCATAACCACTATAGCTTATTGAAGTGTGGATGGTGCAAGCAAACTACATGTGAAGTCCCTTCAGTTTATGGCAATGTGTTTTAGTTCAGTTTGATAAACCCCATCCACTGAAATAAAAATTATTTGACAGGATTCCCCAGCACCCAGAGCCCCCCTTTACCAGGAGATGCCATGAAGTTCTCTTAGCCGAAGATGCCATGAAGCTCCGTGTTAGCCTCTGCACAAATATTTTGGATAGATAATGACTTGGAACTTTCTCATTATGACATTGAAAGTTAAAGGTGTTGGGCATAGTGGCAAAAAAAATAAGCTAGACTCCTAGCACCATAACTGTTCTAATAAAATGCTGGTTATGGTGCTTGAAGTGTCCCTTTTTAAGCGATCACTTGAAGCTTATCTTAAAAGTTTCTAAAGTTGTGTCAGAATTCCAATCTATTTTTACATGACGTTGCAAAAATGTATGGACTCGTTCCCCAAACGTTAATTTTAACTGGTCTGCGGTTTCGGTCTAAGTTTTGCAAGTGAATTGTAGAGATCGATGGAGAAGACATCTCCAAACTACAGATTTTCTTTTTTCCAACATGTCTAAATTACCCTCAGTTGTGAGTTCCTGGTCTTTGAAGTACATCTCACTTTTCAATGACTCATTCATTTAAGGTTTATTTAATAAGCAACGAATGAAAGTGCTTTGTTTTGTTGCTTTTTTTTAAAGGTCAGAGTCGAGCTGGAAATATAGCAGAGTAAAAAAAAATGAACTTCATTAAAAGGGGATCTATCATCACTTCTCTGGAATTTACACTTAGCAGAAGAATGGGATATATTAGGGGTGGGAGATATTGGGTAGCAAGTGAACAGTCAGTTATTGAATTTCATGTGTTGGTAATTGGAAAAATGGGTTAGCGAAAAGATCTGAGTGACTTTGACAAGCTCGAATTAGTGATGGCCTAACAAATTGATTAGAACATCTCCAAAACGGCAAGTCTTTAGGGATATTCCTGGTTGCAGTACTTAGCACCTACCAAAAGTGGTGTAAGGAAGGACAACCGGTAATGGATGCCGAAGGCTCATTAATGCACGTGGGGAGTAAAGGCTAGTCCTCCCTGTCTGATCATACAGAAGAGCTTCTTCAGCTTAAATAGCTGAAAAACTTAAAGGACCACTATAGTGCCAGGAAAACAAACTTGTTTTCCTGGCACTATAGTATTAACATAGCCCCTCATGGCCCCACTCACACCGGGCTTAAGAGGTTAAAAACTTACCTTTCTCCAGCGCCGGAATCTCCTCCTTGGGACGTCATCGGCTGAATGCGCATGTGCAGCAAAGCCGCTCGCGCATTCATTCAGTCCATAGGAAATCATTCTCAATGCTTTCCTATGAACGCTGGTGTCTTCTCACTGTGAAAATTACAGTGAGAAGCACGGAAGCGCCTCTAGCAGCTGTCAATGAGACAGCCACTAGAGGCTGGATTAACCCATATGTAAACATAGCAGTTTCTCTAAAACTGCTATGTATACAGCCAGGGCCGGTTACAGCCAGGGCTCAGTTACAGGCAGAGAGTCACAGAGCCAAACACACAGTTGAAGGCAGACAGTCACATACAGTTACAGGCACACAATCACAGTCAGTTACAGGAACACAGTCACACACACAGACAAAAGCAGACAGTCACACATACTTCATTAAAAGCAGACAGTCACACATACTTCATTACAAGCAGACAGTCATACACACTTGGTTACAGGCAAGCAGACACGCACGCTGATAGGCCCACACACACTCAGTTAAAGGCAGATAGTCACACATACAGGCTCAGGCGCACACAAAATTGGATTCACACACACACACACACAGGGAGGCAGTCACACAGGCAGACAGACACAGATGTACACACTTGCAAACAGTCACACACACAGGCAGACTGTCACACGCAGGCAGTCACACACGCAGACAGTCACACAGGCAGGCAGACAGTCAAACACACACACAGGCAGTCAGTCACACAGACAGACTGTCACACAGGCAGGCAGACAATCACACACACACACTTACCTCTTGCCATTATGGCTGGAAGGGGGAGTGGATGCAGTTGGATGATGGGGAAGCAGGACTCCTTCCTTCTTCCTGTGCAGGAGGTAGCAGGGGCTTCGGGTATGTATTAGCCCTGCCTCTGCCTCGCTGTAAGCCCTGCCTCCTAATAAGCCCTGCCCCCGCTGCCTCAATTTTTATTTATTTATTTTTTTTTTTTATAGACCCGGGTGGAGAATAATGAATCCTCCACCCGGGTCCCTGCTTTAGCTCCCCTGACACCGGCTATGTGCAAACTGTGTCAGCCACATGGTGCCCTGTAGCTGCACAGCTCGCACACCCCTAAGGTCGGCCCTGTTTACAGCAGGCAGGGTTAAACATAGATGGACCTGGCAACCAGACCCCTTCATTAAGTGGTCTGGGTGCCTATAGTGGTCCTTTAATGTTGGCCATGATAGAAAGGTGTCAGAACACACAGTGCATCGCAGTTTGCTGCGTAACCACAGACTGGTCCGAGTACCCATGATGACCCCTGTCTGCCACTGAAAGCACCTTCAATGGGGTCTTGAGCTTTGGAACTGGACCATGGAGCAATGGAAGATGACTGCATAGTTTGATGAATCACGGTTTTAGATCAAGCGGATGATCAGGTGTGTGTGCGTCATTTATCTGGGGTAGAGATGGCAGCAGGATGCACTATGGGAAGAAGGCAGTCCTGTGGAGGCAGTATTATGCTCTGGGCAAGAATCCGCTGGGACGCATCATCATGCCTCGACTCATCCGAGCAGTTTTGGCAGTACGGTTTTAATATTGTAGCTGATCAGTGTACACGATTTAATAAAACATTGAAAATCCCCAATAACATGTTAATCTTTTTTTTCATGTGATGCTATGTTTTCTGTTAAATTTATATTAAAGAATTCTGAAATTGCATCACAATCCAGTGCAGACAAGGTAAAACCAAAGCAAACTTGGCAAATGAAGAGGAGAAGCTGAAATATTGTTTCATTTATCCCTTTCTCCATGCTGACTGCCCAGCTGCAAGGGACAGGGCTTATAATAATAGACAGGGAGCTAAGATCAAGACACCCTTCGAAGGATAAAGAGGTGTGAATTTCTATAGTTTAATTATGTTTTTTTCACACCTCACAGACACAGATTTGCAGAATATAGAGTAAAGTAAATCCTAAAATAAAAATTCTGGTAAGTGACCTCTCAACCTATATATTTTTTTTATTTAAATATAGTTTGTCCGAGAAGCATTACAAAATATTATGGACTAATATTCTGTATCTTTTAGTTCAGAGGTGGTCAGATCGTCGATCCCATTGTGTTTCAAACCATGGTAATACTTCCAGTTCTAGCTAGGGATCTCTTTTTGTGAAATAGTAGCCGAAGATAACTTGAAAAGTAATTTTAGTTAAACACGTTTTTAAATCAAGCACGTGGTGACATTCTGGGATGCTCCGTCAACACATGGAGCATGTATTGGAGGGGGGGGAGGGGGGGGAGAAATTACATGGGAGTATTTTTAAAATTATATATAAAGCTCTGAAAGTTTTGCATGTAAAACGATATCTATATATGTTGCAAAGCCCTTGAAAACACTGAGTAGTATTCTATTTTTGTTATTGCTGCCGTTGTCAAAGGAGAAACAAAGCTGGATATGAATGCTGTGCTTTGACGTGTCCTTTTAGCTGCAGGATTCAACTTTCCACCCCCACCCTTATCACTAAACACTTGTCACGAGCCGGAATTAGCTGTACCGCCCGCCCATTCAAAGTATTACATCACCCACCTGTTAGCTCTTCTGTACTCCTCAAAACAAAACTGTCCTAGCAATTCATCCAACCTGACATGTCTATTACAGGAGGGTAGAACTCACCCCTTTTCCATCCGAAGGAATAATGAAGAACTGCCAACCCCCATGTTTGCTTTACAGAATACACTGCTCAAAAAAAAATAAATGGAACACTTAAACAACACAATGTAACTCCAAGTCAATCACACTTCTGTGAAATCAAACTGTCCACTTAGAAAGCAACACTGAGTGACAATCAATTTCACATGCTGTTGTGCAAATGGGATAGACAACAGGTGGAAATTATAGGCAATTAGCAAGAAACCCCAAATAAAGGAGTGGTTCTGCAGGTGGTGACCACTGACCACTTCTCAGTTCCTATGCTTCCTGGCTGATGTTTTGGTCACTGTTGAATGCTGGCGGTGCTTTCACTCTAGTGGTTGCATGAGACGGAGTCTACAACCCACACAAGTGGCACAGGTAGTGCAGCTCATCCAGGATGGCACATCAATGCGAGCTGTGGCAAGAAGGTTCGCTGTGTCTGTCAGCGTAGTGTCCAGAGCATGGAGGCGCTACCAGGAGACAGGCCAGTACATCAGGAGACGTGGAGGAGGCCGTAGGAGGGCAACAACCCAGCAGCAGGACTGCTACCTCCGCCTTTGTGCAAGGAGGAACAGGAGGAGCACTGCCAGAGCCCTGCAAAATTACCTCCAGCAGGCCACAAATGTGCATGTGTCTGCTCAAACGGTCAGAAACAGACTCCATGAGGGTGGTATGAGGGCCCGACGTCCACAGGTGGGGGTTGTGCTTACAGCCCAACACCGTGCAGGACGTTTGGCATTTGCCAGAGAACACCAAGATTGGCAAATTCGCCACTGGCGCCCTGTGC